GGTGATCACAGTGTCAGACTGGGCCTCACCGCCTCTACAGGAGGTGATCACAGTGTCAGACTGGGCCTCACCGCCTCTACAGGAGGTGATCACAGTGTCAGACTGGGCCTCACCGCCTCCACAGGAGGTGATCACAGTGTCAGACTGGGCCTCACCGCCTCCACAGGAGGTGATCACAGTGTCAGACTGGGCCTCACTGCAGGGAAACGATTACGGTCTCGGGGTCACAGCGGGGGCACACAGTCAGGCCCAGCCTCACCGCCAGGGCGCGCTCGGCAGACAGCCTCTGTTCCCAGGTGAGGCGAGTCCAGCGCCGGGCCAGGCGCATGTCTGCGCACACCAGCAGGTTATCGAACAGCACTCCCGCCGTCTGCGCCCACAGCTCCAGCCCCACCGCGCCCAGGGGGGCCATGCGGAATGGATGAGGGTCTTCGAAATACCCTGGATTCGGGATCAGCCGGGGCTGCCACTGTCCCTGGGAGAGAGTCAAAAGATGTGGTGTCATAACTCGGCAACATTGCTTTTTTAACAGGTCAGAACAAAACTAAAGAACATTAGCCTTAGTATTCCAAAATCAAAATGCTATATAATTAATTATAATACGTCTAAGACAATTTTTAATACCTTATCAGGAAATACATTGAATAGTTCCCTACCATGTGTCACCATAAATCTGACTCATGGCAGGGGATTGGACAGCAAAATGTCTGTGTGGAGGCCCCTGCACTGCTCAGGGCTCTGGTCACCCCCATGTTGGTAACTGAATGAAAGGGTACCTGATAGTTCGGGTTGTCAATCATAGGAGGCTTCCACTTCCCCTTGTAGGCGGGGTTAGAAATCATGGGCGGAGTCCAGGGACCACAACCAATAGCGTCCTTGCAGGCAGGGTTAGGGACCAAAGGCGCCTCCCACTCCCCATCGATCTGCTCATCCCTATGGAACAGGAAAACACGTGAATGAATCGGTCCAATAAACCTGCTGCCCAAAAGGCAGCACCCTCCCTGCCCCCCTCCCTTGGTGACTCACATAATTCCCTGCTTCACAAGTTCAGTTGCGCAACAGGGAGAAGAAGGGCTCACTGGTCACAGCTGATGACACACGCAGAAATGTTTTCTAGAAAACTGTTATTTTGTGCATATTCCTGCTAAGCACTGGCTGAATCTGAATAGTTTGCTGGCTTTTCCCCACTCTTAAGGTGCTGCTGATCTCCTTGTTCTGTTCTACAGTAATGATGGCTCAGCCTGAACAGCATGGCCACTGAGGGAGCTCAGCAGCGCTCTGAGGCGGCACGTCTGCTCTGGTCTGCGGGGGGTGAGAGGGCGCCGGGGCAGAGGTCAGGGCGACAGCTCTGCTCTTCCTCAGAGCAAGGACGTGCTCTCACCAGTCCTGCGGGCGCTGTGCCAGCGTGTCGGGGATGAAGTCGGGCTCCTGCTCCAGCCAGCCGGGAGGCTTCTGGGCCGCGGGGTCCGGAATCTGCCGGGGGGCCTCCTCATCCCTGCGAGCGACGAAGAGAGAGCGTTTTGGGGTGGGGCTGGGGGGGGTCAGGGGCACCAGTGACAGAACTGCAGTGATGAATCAGACAAGACAGGTCTACTGAAACACTCTCCCTTGCAACAAGGAAAAAAGAGAAGGGGGTTCATTTTCTAATCACCTCACCGGTGGGGTGCATTAAAAAATATTAAATAAAAGTACATAACACATACACCAGGTAGCGAAATCTGACATGGACCACAGCGCACTGCAGAGGTAGTGGAAGGGTGGGCTGGGCGTTGTCACTAAAGAAGTCGTCACCAGCGAGGATGCTCAGGCGATGATCAGGCGGTATTCCTCACTGGAAATCTGCTGCGTGCTTTTAGCAGTCATGCTGCCTTAGCATGAAAATATCTGTCCTACCAGTCTGCTGGCTTGATGGCTGAGGGGTCAGGGATGCGCTGCCGGTCATCCCAGTCAGTAGGCTTGGTGTCTGATGGGTCTGGCGCCTCTCTTGGAGGGGTCACAGGCGGGGTCATGTCCTCCAGGAGGCTGCCCTTGCTGACCACCGACTGGTCAATAAGGATTTCGAAGCTGTTGTCTGGGTATAGCCCTAAAGACATACACACACGCACTGGTCAGGACGATGTAGGGTGGTGGATGTGGTTGAGAAGATGCGAGAGGCGAGGTTACGGTGGTATGGACAGATCATGAGGAGGGACGTTGAGGAAGTAACACAGAGGGTAATGGAATCTGAGGTGGAAGGTAACAGAGGAAGAGGCAGGCCTAGAAAGAGATGGAGAGGTTGTGTGAGAAAAGATATGGAGGTATGTGAAGTGAGTGAGGAAGATGTGCTCGACAGAGACAAGTGGAGAAGAGCAACCAAAGCAGCTGACCCCAGGACAGTCTGGGACTAAGGCAGTGAAAAAGAAGAAGAAGAAGAAGAAGACACGCACTGGTCAGGCGTAGGATCTTTTGAAACCTGGGGCCAGGAATGTAAGGATGGTAAGTCTACGGCACACGGGACACAGTATAAGTATAATATAAGTATAGTATAATAATATAACAGTATAATAAGTATAAGGAGCGGCAGGGGGGCTGAGGAAAAAAAATCCAGTTGAAAAAAAAGACTCCGGAATTCAGCTCATTCCTGAACTATAAGCACTGGTCCCTAGTGAAGTCTGGTGCATCGTTACAGTGCTTTAAACCCAGAGGTCACACTTTTACAGGGGTTCTCCTGTACCTTGAAAGAGTATGCCTTAACTCTGTTGTGCATGTACTGTAATAAGATTTTCACAAGGAAACCAGGTTCATGACCTGGCAAGATGGATACAAGTAGCAAAAGAGTTAAAATGGTTTATTTTTGATGCCAAAGGAATAATCCTCCCGGGACAATTATGTGTTATTTTGATTGATTTATCCGTTTGCTTTTATGTCAAGCCTTTAAAACAAAGCTGGAACTATTGAAGCGAAGGGGAATGTATCACAATCAGTGAACATCTTCACCTCTCTGTCCATGAGATCAAAAAGTCTAAATAGCCCCCCTCTCCTACACTGCTCCTTCTCCCCTCTCTCTCTGCTGGACTCACGCAGCGTGTACAGGTGAGCCCTGCGATCAGTGAAGTACTCCCTCAGGTCCCAGTCCGGTCTCCTGGCGTGCCTCTCCTCGTAGCGCCCCGTCAGGGGGTTCCTGTGCCGGAAGATGAAATGCAGCTTGTGGTCCTCTCCGCACTTATCTGGCCCGAACATGATGGAGTACGGAGTGGTGTCACTGAACCGAGTCTGAATCAGGAGAAACGAAGGTGAAGTCGAGGAGGAGTTCTTCACCCTTGCCACTTGTCACAGCAATAACACAAGCAATTTTTCAGAACTGTTTGTAAACCACAATCTTTTTTTATTATTTTATTTATTTTTCATTTTATATTTACATGAACTGGAGCCCCAAACTTTTTTTTTTACATCTCAGCACACAGCAGCGGGTCCCTGTGCTGCATGGGCAGAATGAGGGTAGGCTGACCTGCCCCTCTGTCCATCCACCCATTGAACCATGTGACTGTTGACATGTGCTATCCAGGAGACCTGGGGCTCCTCATACTGACCTGACGGAAAGCCTACAGGAGCCCAGGAATCCTCAGCAGTTGCTATCCTGCCTATTTCCGGGGGATCCCCGGTCACTGAGCCCTACCCCATCTCCGGAGGTGGGTATCCCGAATAGCATCAGCAGGAGACACAGACCAGGCACCAGCCTGTGACATCTGGATCACAGAGCTCAGCCATGAGCGCCTGCACTGGCTGAATGACTCTTGAGAGCCCTAAACCCAGACTTTGGACCAGAGGTGTCCAATTCCTGGTCATGCAGAGCCTGTGTGTCTGTGGGGCTTCATTCCAACACACCTCCTAACGAGCTAAACCTCCTGGTTAACAGCATCACTGGGCTGATTTAACAGCTTCTCCCAGCTCTTCAGATGTTGCTCCTTTAAAGAGACCCTGAAAACCTGCAGGCGCACCGTGTGAGATGTCAGGGTAGCAAGCTGGAGGCCAGAACAAGCACTTTAGAGGAGAAGCTCACAAGTAGCGCAAGAGGTCCTGCTTGCCTCTGAAGCAGCCAGTGCAAGGTCCGCGTGCTGAGCCCGTGGCTTCAAGACGGAAGGGCATGAGAGAAACGTGTGGCATGAGCCCACCCTCTCATTTCTGAAGGCAGATCTGAGAGAGCTCTTACTCACCAGATTCAGCTGCTCGGACTGAGACAGCAGCTTGATATAGGCTCCCCCACAGTCCATCCCCTGCTGAAACTGGACCTCATACCTGCGAACACAGCCAGCACTGATAAGCCGCTGTTCAAGTGTGTCCAGCAAACAAAGACCGGATTATTTCAGACACATTTTCTCAGTTCCCGCTTAAAACCTAGAGACACTGCCCTGTGCAATTTGTTGTGCTTTCTCTTGCTTCCCTGTGAGTCTTTATTGTTATTGATGATGATGATGGTGACCCCTTGCGTGTCACTCACTGCACTATGAGTGGCTGGTCCAGGAAGTGGAAGGCTCTGAGCAGGGGGGCCGAGATGGCGTGGTGTCGGCCTGCGGATTTCAGAACCAGGCCTCTGTTTCCAGGCAGAACCTGCTCCACGGGCTCCTCCACAGCCCAGATCCCTGCAGGTTCATGAAAACACAAAAAGCCTCGAGCTGAAATCACAACATCCCTTGTCTCATACAAGTTGGGTTTTTTTTTTTTGCACTCCGTTCGAGTGTTAAATAAGCTCTGTCATTTTATTTAATCCATTCTTGTGACTTGGTCCCAGTGTACAAACACACTGGAACGCTGCATCCGAGGTGCTTGTTTTTAAAACCGAAGAACAATCGCAGCAAAGGGATTCTCACCATCGTACTTGACAGCAGTGTCGTCCTCCTCCTCCTCCTCTCCCTCTCTCGTCGCCTGGGACAGCACCCACCTCCTGCCAGCACAAGAGAGACAACACGCAGGGTCACGATGGAGACAGGCTGCCGTGCCAGTAAAGTTTTTTTGAATTGCAAGTGACCCGAACCGCGAGAGAGGCAGAGGGCCACACAGAAGCACAGGCATGAAGATAGGATGGACCCAAGGGGCAGAAATCCATAGGCACTGCCCAGCCTGTAAATTGAATAATTTAAAATAGATACTGTATACTGTAGCTCCCCTGCCAGGTGCCCTGGACCTCGCAGCGTGTCGAAAGGCTGATGACTCCAACAGGCGGAGGAGGGTCTACAGGCTTCCCTCCTCCCTGTGCAGGCACAGAGCTTGTGTAACGTAAACTGTCGGCTCTCAGAAAATTACACATTGAATGGATATAAGGAAATATCAACGGTAGAGTTCAAATTAAAAGGCTACGGTCTGCTCTAAATTAAAATGTTGGACTGTGCAAAAAATCCTAGATGGGGATCCTGATCCTTGGTGACAGCAGGGTGGAGTAGCGGTTCTAGTCTGGGACCCATAACTGGAAGGTTGCAGATTTAAATCCCAGGTGAGACACCTGTTGTGCCCTTGAGTAAGGTGCTTCACTTAGACTGCTCCAGCAACATTCCCAGCATCTATAAATGGGAGCAAACGGTAATTTGCTGTTGATAAAGACGTCAGCCAGATCAGTTAGCAGGAGCTCCAAAGCCACCAACGTGTGCTGGTTTCTGAATCTGCGTGTGTAACAGGACATTGTACATTACCCCTCCAGCGGCCCAGAGTCAAAGGATTCTGCGAAGTGAGCATCTTCCAGGACCTCAGGAGGTCTGTAGACGATCTGCACCACACAGAGACACAGACAAAATCAGCGACAGGGGTGCCATGAAATGGAGTGACTGCTCTGCAGACGATATGTGCATTTTTGGCAAGATGCATCCACGCCACAAGACACTTTTTGAACCTAGAAACATAGAGAGCAGAAGGCATCCAGTCCTGGGCCTTGAGATCTGCTGAGCCTGTTTTCCAAGTCTTTCTCATGATCAAAGACTTATGGGGAACGGGAATGGCTACATTCAACTAGTGAAATCCAAACGGAACCAGCTGAAGTCCTTAATTCCCCAGGTTTTAAGATTTTGAGGAACTAAGAAAAGTGCAGGAATGCAGCTTATGACTCTTTCGACTCGTCTGTCCACCGAACATTGCTCTAGACGTCTGAAGCGTTATCCAGGTGCTTAATTTTTTTTGCAAATTTGAGAATATTCTATTCTAGTGTTTTATATATAGTGTAGTTACCTGAGATTTCTCCTGAGACGCCGCAGACACGCAGACCAGCAGGAACAGCGCAAGGATGAGCCCGGGCATCACAGTCACAAGCTCTGCTCTTTGCGGAAGGAGGATGGGGCGAGTGAACCGACAGACGACATTATTGTCACATTATTTAAATAACCACGCTGCTGCAATCTTCTTGTTTTGGATGAAATGAATCCCGCTGCCCTTTCCTTTAAAACACTGATACGCCTGAAGCACGTGCGTAGTCAACACTGTAATCATTAACCCTTCCCGTAAAACGCAGGTACCTGCCAAAAAAACATTTCTATTTCCTTTTGATTTAGAACGGCTTTTATTTCCTTGTGCGGGTGTTTCGACAAGCCTGCAACTTCGAAATCACCCCATGTGAGAAGTATTATTATAAACCCTGCGTGAAGGGACTAATGCAGAAGTCAAAATAAAAGCTGGTTCTTGAACTCACCTGTTCGGATGCCAGCTGCGCGTGGACTAACTCAAAAAAGGAATCGGCGACTCTTCACTTCACAGAGTGAACTTTAACCCTTGGCCGTCCGTTGCCATGACAGTAAGGCAGCGAAGGGGACCGGAGTCAATGGGAGGGGGAAATTGAACACACCCTCTTTTTATCTTTGTGTAGTTGGTTCATACGTGGCGAGCTGAATTCTCATTTCCCCATTTCATATAGCTAACATTCACATTTTTTTCAATTGCTTTCGCAATTAAAAAAAAAGAGTACATCTATAGACTGAAATGCAAACGCCATTGTACCGAAACTTCCCCTTCAGAATGAAACCGGCAGTGAGGAGCTACAGTATGTAATCATTACTCTGCACTGTGCTAATCATTTATTTTTTAGAAAAAGAAAACTTACTCCACCTTTGGCATAGCAGTTTTTATACTCTTAATATAATACTGCTAACTCTGAACGATACACTGATCCAAGATTTACAGCATCTCTTCATCAAGATGCACCTTTGATTCTGCAGAAAACAGGATCAATGCATCTCATCTTTTAAGTGCATAGTGACTGGGTAGCAGACTGCACTCCAGATTTTAGGAACACTGAAAACCAAATATTTGCTGACATTTTCACCCAACATTAATCATCTTCAAACAGAGAACAATCTTGACATGACCGTCTAACAGACGTCTCAAAGACCTTAAATAGCTTTTAGGAAAAGGCATTCAAGGAAAAAGACGACTTAATGAAGATGAATCTAGAAGACCTCAGACTGAGCTACTGTACTTTTCCGTTTTCCCAAACATACAAATTTCGCCGTCATTGCGGGGCGAAGAACTGCTCCTTTAGAAGTGAAGTGTGAGTCTCCTGCTGTGAAATCACTGTCACTGATGTCATGATGGAAATAAATGAAACAGCCTAGAATCAGCCTGGCAAAATCACTACTTTATTGTAACAAAAGAGACCCCTCTAGCCCCACTTTTTCATCCCTCAGAGTACACATTCTAGGGCTTTATGGGAAACAGCTGTACATCTGCATGTACATACAGATCGTAATCAGTCAAGTTCTCTGCCTATTCAAACGTAATCCTAAAGCTCTTTTCCTGTTCCTTGCGGCGATTATCACACAGCTTGGACACTTCTTCCACTCTCCTCTGCAACAGGACTGTACAGAGAGGGGAAAAAAAAGAAGGAAGAAAATATTGAAACAAGATCTTAAAAAGATTTTTAAAAGTGGCAACATTACTCATACATGGCAACTTTAAGAAACTGCAACAAGGAAGCACAAAATGCATTATAAACACTTTATACAACTTTATACAAAGCACTCACACTTTTACAATGACCCTACTGGTTTTACTCTACTAAAGAACAGGGCCACATTGAACTGAGAGGCCTTGAAATAAGTTTAACTGCAACATAACCCAGAAAAAACAACAATATACAGTAGGATCTAGTAAAGTCTGACCCTCCACCACACAGGGTCTGCAGATGGGTATGCCAAAGGCTGATATTGTTTACATGGACGCTGAAATGCCATGGGGAAAACTATACAATTCCACATGTCTTGCGAATAACCATGTATAAATATGGATCTGTGGATCTACTGCAAATTAGCTCTAAACCTGACATTTAGACTTTCTTCATATCCTCTGCAAGAGCTTTCTAACAACAAGGGTTAAAACACAACAAACACCGAGTTAATGATTCACTTAGGTTAAAAGGTTAAACCCTCTACCCAAGATCCTGCTGACATCTCCAAAGCTAAATTTAGGAATTTCAACAAAGCAGCACTTTATTATAATCCCATCTCTGTTTGCACAGGAATGCATCCATGGGAAGAGGCACTGTTCCCAGCAGCTAATGGAAAATGAGCTTGGGATGAATGCTGACCAGGAAGGCTCTCAAGACTTGTTTGCAAAAATACGAGCAATGAACTGCGTTATACAAACATGTATAACTGTGTTATACGAATATGCGAAATACATATTCACATTTCATTTTTTGACAGCAAGCAAAGCCTATACGCATGAGCTTACAATGTGATTTTAGGGGCCAGTGTTTAAAAGGCATGTGTAGGATATATAAAGTCACTGTGTTGTTCACTGTAGTTTGTAAGTAAGTTTATAACAAAAGGCCCTCATTCTCTCATTCCCTTAATTCTAAAGCCAAGGCTATTTTTAAGTGCTTTTTTAACCTTAGACACAGCATGAACAGCCTCTGTGTTACTAGAAATCTCATGTCAGGAAGAGGACATACTTGTTATTTATGTAAACTTTAACACAGAATGCAACCACAAAATAACTGTCCAGATATCAAACATTCCCCAGGGGCCCTAGTCAGTTACATAAACATGTGACTGGCTTTTTAAACCTAAGGAATTTAGTCTAATCAAATTCTACATGTCTATTCTGCTGGTCAGGCCGATGAATATGTCACAAGATATCACAAAACATGGCAATTTTAATAAATACGTTTAGATTCTGTTCTATGTAGTGCCAGAAACATTGATACGCATTATTTCTTTGCTGCCCACTTTCTGCCTTAGTGAGCTTATGGTAAAGGGGTTAATTGGGCACGAAGGCCAAAATACATATTTACTCTCTGTTGAAAACAAGGAGAAGCTAAAAGAGTTATTCTCAGAATGAAGGGAAGCTCCTGAGTCCCTTGATAGCAGTTTTAGGAGCTGCTGCTCGAAAACTATTCATGAAACGTTTTATGAGCACCATCATGGAAAAGAAAAAAAGTACATCTGCACACTCACCAGAATTTTGGTCGATCCACTGAAGAGAATCCATGTGTGCATTCAGAATTTTGCAGATTTGCTGGAGCTGGTAAAAGAAAAAAAAAAAGTTATCAAAAGTTTTTTTTAGAAACATAAAACTAATGTTAGAGTCCTAAGGCAATATACAACAAGACACGTGTTTGGGTATATGTATATGTGTGTGTTTGTGTTTTAAAACAAGAAGTAAACGTAGTTGGTTGATGGATGAAATTTTGCTTTCTTTCCTTCACTCAATTTCACAAGATTTCAGCTAGTTGTAAAACTGAAAAAGCATCATATGAACTCTCAAGAACCCATTAACACAAATATCTTCCTCTCCTATCACCACAAGTCTACAACATATTCCTACCCTTTTTCAATTCTCCCAGCCCCCCATCAAACTCCCAGATTTTCTAGAGGGCCGGGAACAGAGACAGAAAAAAATTCACAGTGGCTCAAAATCCTGTGACACCACCTCGTGTCCAAGGCAAGGCCACCCAGCAGGATGAACTGGAGATGTAACACGTTCACTGACGCACTTTCAGCAATTCTCAAAATGTGTTTCAGCACCTGGCTTATGGGTTAAAGCAGGTTCATACTGTACTTTTTGATAAGGAGATCCTGGTCTTTCTAACCAGACACTTAGACCCACAGCGGGTTTGACAGTCACTCAATTATTCTCTTCGATCCTCCTTTACTGCTCCTCTCTCTCACCCAGCAACTCCCTGCCTCTCGCCTCCTCCTTTTCCCTCCTGCTCCTCACTCTTTCCCCCAGAAGATCCGGTGGTATCCATTTATTTCTTCCCTAACTGAGCAGTGCATTGGAACATGGCCTTTTCATGGGATGGCACACAGTCCAACAGGTTTAACCAGCAGGATCTCTAGCAGTTCTTAAAAGTTATCTAAAACATTTTTCCCCAGTCATGACACTTTTCTATGTGTGCTGGGGGGGCAGTGGATGAAGGGGGTTTTTGGGGCTGTGCTTTTGCGGACCCCAATCTGAATCACCCCTAAGTGTGTCTCCACCCCACCCCACCCCCAAGCCCCCGTACGGGAAGATCACGGTTCATTCTCACATTGAACCCCTGGCGTACCGGGTCGCTGGTGTCGGCCGGGCCGCTGGAAGTGTTGAGGTGCTCGATGATCTCCTTCAGATCCTGCGACATCCTCTTCAGCTGGGCATCCACGTTCTCGGCCAGCTTGTACCTGACGCAAGCAAAAAGAGATGCATCACAGGGGCCGGTTTTACTGCAGTGAAGGTAAAGCATCACATCACGCAACAAACCGTGCGCGCCAGCTTATTTTGCGGCCTGTGTGAAAAAAAAGTGCTTTCTTTCAGAAATGTTGAAACATCGTTTTAAAAATATATTTGAGACTTTACTCATGAGTTTTAAATCCCTACCTATCCAAGGTAGGGTGATGTCTCAAGAGAGAAAAAAAAACACTTCCCACTGTGGGAGGTTTCACAGTTCAAAGACTATGGGAAAAGATGCCATTTCTAATCAAATTACATGAAAGTATTTACAAAAAAGTAATATGCATTAATGCAGCTCTTGCACGTACAGTAATTCCAATTCTAGACTCTCCGTGATGGACTTGTAAGACTGGTAAGGTTTGCTGCACACTGACAAATTATCTTGACAGAGTCCCAGGATTCCAGGCTGGAGGAAGGAGGCCCGTGTAAAGAACCAGTGCTTTCAAAAATGGAAAAGGGAACCTACGTCCTTTCGCGCTCCTCATCTGCATTCTGCATGTAGATGGTGCCGCTCTGCTCCTTCACGGACTCCTCCAGTGGGGACAGCAGGTCCTCCAGCTCTTTCTGCTGGGAGAGGATGAAATCCAGTTCCTGGTCCAGCCTGCAGAACAACAAAGGATCGTTTTATACAGCAGAGCAGGGGTGCACTTTAAAGCCCACGTTCCTAATTATTCAGCTGGGCCAGCTCTCAATCTCTCTCCCCCCACCGTCTTAGGTGAAAATATGTAAAACCTACTTGGAATAAAGCCCTTAAGTGACATGATGTGTCCCTCAGGCTAAACCAATTTTAAAGAGAGAGGACTATGTCATAAAAGCTTTTATCAGCAGGTCATAAAAAAGATCTACTGCAGATTAAGAACTTCATAATTGTCTCACTTTATCAATGTATCTGACTGAGATCACACAATATTGTAATAAAAAATGTCAGAACATATGCCCTCCTGAAAACGGTGACCCCGACATTTGGCAATACTGGGGTCGCTTCAGTGTTCAGAGTTCAGTGTTCAGGGAGCATTTAAAGTCCTGGGAAAGGCAGGCAAAACCAAATCCAAAAACAGTTCTTGTGAAAGGCACTCTTGATCAAGAGCCAAGATCAGCCTGCGGCCCCCCTGACCTTACCTCCTCTGGTCCAGCTTCACTTTCTCCACCTCCCTGTGCAGGGACGTGATCTGTGAACGGGAACAGAGACACAGCACTGACATTAAATCTCCCCACTTGCTCGTGCAGCACTGTCCCTGCCACCTTTAATCCATGCAGTGAAACACTTCTCTACACACAGCGCACAGGGTGTCTTCCACACAGTGGCTCCTCCTATGACCGCAGTCACACTAGTTCCTGAACCATGTCTTACACAGCACCTCAATTTCTTCTCATATATTCAACACAGAGTTTTTAATATAGCATTTTACCCTTTGCGGATACTATAGTACGGTGTTAAAACTACAAGATGAGTACCATCAGGCTTCTGCAGCTTACACAATCCTCTGTGCCCACCCTATGTACCTTGTACCATGCGAGGCCCTGCCATCTCTTCTACTGAGTCTACCTCTTCCAAACTTCGATATTTTGGGACCCTTTTTTCTGCACCCCCCACCCCATCTGGGACTCCTGCAGCTCCGGTGCCCTGAACAGCCACCCTCCCTTCAGTACCTTCTCTCCGTTCTCAATGAGCATGCGGTCCCAGGCATTGACTTGTGTGGCCTGCTGCAGGAAGTGCCTCTCCTGGTCCTCCAGCTCCAGGCTCCACTTGTTAATGAGGGACTCCAGCTGGGCGTACGTCATCACCGGGGGGGCGCTGGGGTGGAGACAGCAACAGGCTGTGAGCGCACTGACACCGCAACGCTGAAATCGGCGCCAAAGTCTCCTGAACGCTTGCGCACCAGTGGGGTTAAAATCAGCCTTTGGAAGCCTGGTTCAGGTGGTCAAGCTTGTAGAAAATGCAATGACTGTATCCATTCTTTTTCGTGCCTGGTGTTGCCGCTGCATAAACATTACCAAGTAACTGATCCGAATTGTATCTAAGGAGGGGTGCAACGTCCAACAGAGATGGGAAGCACCAATCCTCTAGGGCTAAAGTTCTGCAAGTTATCCGGATGTATTTCAATTAGCACCTTGCTAAGATCAAACAACTTCACCAAACGACTTATATGATTAAGCGTACAAGTGGAATTAAATGTTAGGACCTTAATGCCTTCAAGGGCTTAAGATGCTCATTCCTGGGGTACAGTAGACGTTTTTTCATTTCGCTCAATACAAAGATACAAAGAAATACACGTACTGAAGAAAGAGACAGTAATAAATCCACCCAGAATGGGATTTTCCTGCAGATTCGGGACTCATACATGCTTACTTGGAAAGAGAGACAGAGATGAGAGCACTGGGAGAGACAGAGTTGGCACGGAGGTGGCCGCGTAAAGCAGGGAGTCTAGTCTGGTGGTACCTGGCAGTGGAGGCAGGGGTGGCAGTGATTGTCGCAGCAGTGAGAGGGGCCACCGTGCTGGCAGCAGCTGTTCCGGTGGGCTTCAGGCTCAGAGAGAATCCCGTGGCCGAGCCGGAGGTCGTCCCAGCTGGAAAAACACACCAGGCATTCCCTCAGTCACTGCAAGCTCAAGGCCTGGCCCCCTCACAATGGGTTCACTGCACCCATTTAACACTAGGAACAAGTAAAGGTTTATTCCATGTAGGGCTGGGCGATAATTCGATAACGATAATTATCGCAATATAATTTTCCTCGATATAATTTTAACAAAAGTTCGATAAATGTTCTATATATGTTTATGCTTTGCGCATGATATGAACGTGCACACAAAACACTGCGCGAGTGCGTGTTGCAGACTGGGCAGCTGACGTGGTGGTGTTGACCCACACGGTGGTGGCTGACAGGACTGTAGTTAGAGTGGAGAAATGAGCGACGCCGAAGCGAATGTAGTGCTGCCAACGACCAGCTCAAAGGACGATGACGTCGTCGACAGAAAAGGTCATTCAACTTCGGTAATTTGGAGATATTTTGGCTTTTTTCGATCAGACATAAAACAAAGCACTTTAAACTTTGCAGTCTGTCTGAGCCATCTTCTATGTGTGTTTTATCACACTGCAGTATTTAATTTTTCTATTAAGATATTTATTTTGTAAGCTTTACTCATTCATATTTTGACATAAAAAAAGACTTGAATACTCTCTACCTCAGATTTGTTTAATGTTTCTGCTGTTTGGCAAGTGTTTGTTGTGTTCTTAAAATAAAGAAAAATTTACCAATAAACTGTCTGGTTTCTTCAACTTTTACTCAGGATAAAAAAAAATCTTTCTTTAAACTTGAAAGAAATAATGATTTGACATTTATCGTGATAATTATCGATATCAACTGATATGAAACTTTTTATCGTGATAATGTTTTTGGCCATATCGCCCAGCCCTAATTCCATGTTGAAAAGAGAAGAAAAGAAACAACATTTTGGCTGTAGAGTCTACTTCAGGTGTCACCAGGGCACCAGGATGGGACCCACCTGTGCTAATATTTTTGTTGGCTGGGTAGAAGAATGCTTCTTCGCTTCTTACACTGGCTTTGACGCCGACCTCTAAAGGCGATACCACACCTGAAGAAGACTTAACAGCCGAAAAGTTGTGTTTCTTTTCTTCTCTTTTCAGCATGGAATAAACCTTTACTTGTTCCTTTGCAGCCTATGCATGCTGACACAGCTCCCTACTTGAACTTCTTCAACCCATTTAACACTATTCTACAGCAACTGGTAACATTAGAAACCAGTTTAACAACTGAATGAACAAGTGTTCCACAACAGTACAGCTTAATAAGCAGAGTGTTTTTAATGCACTAGAACTGATAATTGGGGACCTTAGTGAGGTAAATCAACAAGTTTTTCCAGGTGGATTGCAGATAATTCTGGAAGAGACCAACAAAAGCCTGCTTGCTGGACAGTGGCCCTTGAGGCACAGCACTGAGGAGCTCCGACTCCAGACTTTATTCCTGTTATTAATGCTGTTGAGGTTCAGTTGCATCTCTTCTCACCCGTAGTGGCTGTGCTGATGGCAGATATATTCCCCAGGGGTTTCAGCGTGAACCCCAGTCCTCCGACTGTTGAGGTTGCTGCAGGTGTGGCTGCTGCTGCCCCCACTGTGCAGAATGTATACGGGGGGGGGGAGGAGAGAAAGGCAGAGGGGAGGACAGGTCAGAAATTAATTCACACAAATCACCGAACTCAAACTCTCCTTTAAACCAAACAGCCGAGGGTCACTTTTCTTACACTACAGGAAATAAACCCTTTTCTTTTTTTTATGTCGGCCACGAGGTGCGCCTGGGGGAAAGTTAAGTACAGTGCGTGTCCGCCCTGGGGACAGGAACTCACGGATGAAGCCTGTGGGGACGGAGGACGCTGCGGTGGGGGCGGCGAAGAGGGAGGAACCAACTATCGTGGAAGCCTGGGTGGCTGACGCTGTAGTAGCTGCGGCTGCTGGAGAGGAAACAAAACAGTCACGACTCACATTCAGAGACTCCTTACAACACTACAGCAATGCTGCCATTATGGTAGAACTTTCCAAGGTCCTGCTGCAGAGTAGTTTCAATCAAATGTCCTTACCCGCTTATTTACATTAATGAATACACGCTGTGAACTCAAATCTGCTAAATTACGAAGACGCTGACAGTTTCTCAGAAAGGAACATGCGCTTCATGTTCAGGGTGAGTATTTTAGCTCAAACCAGTGCTGGGCAAATCCTGGTCTCTAATGCCTTCAGCGAAGCAAGAATACAAGGTTCTTCCTGAATGAGTTAGTAATTAATTCCAAGTTAAACTCCCAGCAAATGCAGCTTGGATCCATTCAGCTCAAGAATGCAAAAAGAGTCTATGACAGGGACTGTAATCCTCAGGGTATGGAACTGCATTCCTCAATACCACTCCACACTACCTACTTGCGTCCTACAACACAGTCCGCACTGCTCACTTTTATTTATATGGCCTCTGCATTGGACATAAAAGCCCCTTTCTCACCTGCAGGTTTTGCTCCGAATGAGAAGCCTGATCCCTGGCCGACAGCCCCTGTGACTGTGGAGGCCGGGGCGACAGATCCCAGAGTCAGACCTTTTGAGAAGACGAGGAGAAGAGGGAGCACTGCTGTCAGCACAGCAGACTTAAGACAAAACAAGTAACAAAAAAGCTTGTTCCTTTAACCTTAGACATATTTGAAGGGAAAAGGGTATACATAATCACCACTACTGCACTATAAATAAAAAAATATTACTGCAATAATCGGGTCATGTTTCAAAGGTAAACATGAGCACCAGAAAATCAGAGACACGTGACAATTCTAGGTTAAGATATCAAAATCTGATCATTTAACATCTTTTGTAACGTGTTTTCGTTATGACCAGCTCTTGCAAGACACCGGAACCATAACCAAACTCAGAAACAAACTTGATTTAAGGATGGCACCAGAATCAGAACCACCGCAGGCGTCTGTACTGAGTTAATCTCAAGAATGGCAGTGCCAGGAAGCTCACCTGTAGACTGACCCCCTAGGGAAAGGCTGCTAGCTGGCTGGCTGGTTGCTGTGGTATTACTGCTACCAAATGAGAATCCCCCCCCAGTGCTAGCAGCAGGGGCTGCGGCTGCTGTTGTGGTGGTGGCTGGGACCTTTGGCGCCCCAAAAGTGAATCCCCCTCCAGGCTGGGAGCTTGCAGGCGCCCCCAAAGTGAAACCCCCCATCGCTGCGGGCTGGGCCTGAGCTTGTGTGGGTGCAATCCCCAGTCCCCCGCTGAAGCTAAACCCTCCAGTAGAGGGCGCCGCCGCGGTGGTCTGTGTGGTCAGGACCCCGCCAAGTGAGAACCCCGACCCCGAAGACTGGGCAGGCTGGACAGGCTGGACAGGCTGGGCAGACTGGACAGACTGGACAGACTGGACAGACTGGACAGACTGGACAGACTGGGCTGTGCTGCCCCCAAGGATCAGCCCTCCAGAGGATGCGGGCTGAGAGGTGGCTGACAGGTTGAGGCCGAGCTTCGCAGTGGAGTTTCTGCGGGAACAGAACAGAAACTTTAAGTTAAAACTCTCTCACCAACAGCGTGGTTTTACAAGAAATAAGAAAAAATGATGAAAGACATATACACAGATCAACTTGTCGGGCTCCCTAGGTCTTTTAATGAATTAAGGGATTATTTGAATCTTAATTAAGGGATTCAAATAAGGGATTAATTGAATCCCTTGTTTGCGGACCCTCCCGACCTTTATAAATGTGTCTTTCGCGCAAACCCTCAAATGAGGACCAGTGAAGGACGAACCTCCCCCCCCGCAGTTTCATTCTAAAAAGACGAGCCCCTCTGCTCGAGGCACGAACCCCTTCTGAGCTCAGGCAAGAGTAACAGAGCTGCGCTGAACGGCGGCACTGACCCAAAGGAGAAGCCACCCGGGCCGGCGCCACTTTGTGCCGGGGTGCTGAAGCTGAAGCCCCCCTGGGTGCTGGCGCCGCCCTGCGTGGACAGCGAGAAGAGGCCCGAGGACTGGGGGTTGGACCCCGGGGCCTGGGACTGGGCGGGGGTCCCGAAACTGAAGCCCCCCACCCCTCCCGCTGCCGGGGTGCTGGTGGTCAGGCCAAACCCAGTTGCCGGGGCGGCCCCTGCAGATGTCTTTGGGGTCCCGAAGGTGAACCCCCCTGTGGTGGCGGAGCTTTGGCCGAAATTAAACCCACTCATGGCGCATCCTGGAAGGGGGAGAAAGGAGAGAGACAGAGACCTTCAGAGACAAAAACAAAATTAAGTATTCCTTTACACAAAGTGTTGTGGGAGCATGGAGTAAGACACCCAGCCATGTAGTTGAAGCTGATACCCTGTTTTTTTTTTTCACGAATCAGCTGAATGAGATCCCGGGATCAATTAGCAACTACCTGAATGGCCCCTCTCGCCTACAACCTTTCTAATGAGAAACTGCTAGCATTAGTAAAGCAAACAGACGAAGAAGTGATAAACAGAGAAAGATAAAAAGAGAACGAGAAAAGAAGTACAAAACGTCTCCAACATTTCAGTAGAGAAATCAATGCGTTTGCATAACACAAACCGTTTTGTAATTTTAATTTAAGTATGTGAAATGAGTTCCCGTCAGACGTGTGGTTTTAAATATGATCTCTGAACGTAATACTACATTTGTATCAATAATACCAGCGACAACTGTCAAACGACAACATGCACACGTTGTATCACAAACGAGAGAAACGAAACACTTCGACTACGCAGATTCTGAATAAGTAACTTACTACTTAAGAGTCTCGGGAACGCAGAGCTTGTCAGATTCCTCAGGTATGTGTTATAAAAATTAATAGTAACCTAAAATAAGTATACAATCAAGTATGATAAATTTAACAAACCGGAAAACGTTCACAACTTCCAATTCTAATACGCTGCCACCTCCTGCGCCATTTTTGCGCCAGAGTATACGTGAGGACCCCAGCCTGTGAGTATGACTGGCTATTGCATTGCCTAAGATAACAGTTTTAAAACTATAACCACAAATTACAACTTATTGTAAACTGAATGAACAAATAATTCATACCGGAAAATTTATGGTAATTGTACAAACTTTTTGTTTATTTTTTATTTTAAAAACAAAACTGTATAAGCGGGAACAGGCACGGACTGTCTTGGCAGAAGTGACGTATATGCATCTGTTCGCTGATTGGTGTGCTACTAAAGGTGCTACTCAGTGATTGGTTTAAGCTTCTGTCAACCACATCTCTTTAGCTGGGGGGGGTAATTCGGTTGCCATGGCATCGAAAGAAAGCCAAGCAAGAAGCCACACTCTAGTACTATAATAATCATTACTGTGTACATAGATCTGAGATTACTTCTCCTGAAATTACCCGACAGTAAAGGAGCATAAACATATTCAAGTTTTAAATCAGAAAATACATTAAGCTAACATCTCTGTAAAAAGTGTTTAAAAAAATAATTCACAACATTACAGTTTTAGTCCCGTTAGGGTTAACGAGCAGCGCAATGGACAACATGTCCTCGACGGAGACTCTCCAGGCTCTGTCCAGCCTCCTCTACACCGACCAGGAGTCTGACGAGGATGACAGCATCTCGGTAAACCTGCGTCTTCAGAAATATTATTCCTGTCCCTACGTGTGTATGACGTTTGATAGTCATCTTGCATGTTCAGTATGTGACCATCTCTTCAGTCAAGAGTCATTTTAAATTGCTTTAATGTAACGAAAATAATGTTATTATTATTATTATTATTATTATTATTATTATTATTAGGTTCCACCTGCGGCAAGAATGGGACCTGGTCAGATTGGCCCAGCCAGAGCAGTGGAGAAAGACGGTGAGTCTAGATCTGTGTCCTCTTGACTCCTCTGCCTTTTTTTTAATACGACAGATAAGTTGTGCTTTCGGAACTGGAGAGCGCAGCCTTAAAATGCATCTGAAATTACCCTGCGATCTCACTGGGAGTCGCTGTTGATAAGAAAAAAAAAAGTTTGTTTTTCAGGTTATTTCTGAACCTTTATTTAAATAACGACACGGACTCAGTTTTTCTTTTTTAACTCGATGTTCCTTGAATTGTCTGTCCGTGCCGGATCTCCCTTACACAGATATGATTTTTAACTCGGGCGTTTGTTTCATCGTGACACATATTCCAGTGTGATTTATTTTTCCTGTTCAGTTTTGCAACGAGTCGTGCTTGATTTAAGGTAACACCTTTGAAGTTGTCACCATTGAGGGAATCAGAGCGGGAGGGCAGGGTGCCTGACACCCCCGTGCTGATCAAAGGTTGGCCTCCCCTCTATCTCTCTCCCCAGCTCCCTCAAAGGACAGCAGGCAGATCTGGAGTGAGGAGGAGGTGGCAGAAGGAGCACAGTTCGATGACCTCTGTGACCCCCGGCCACAGCCCGAGTGAGTGAGAGACTGTTCAAATTCAGGAGCACCTCTGGCAACAAATTCCTTTTCAGGTTTTTTTTTCTTCCCATTTGCGTGTGCAAACTTATTAGCTTGGAGCTCTGGTTTGCGATATGAGCGTGTTGGCTGGGACTGACGCGGGGTGTAACATCCTGCGGTGGTTGTGGACGGTGCAGTGTGTCCGGAGGTTAACCTGCCTGCTTGTCTGTGCAGGTATGAGATCCTCCTGAAGCAGAGGGTGGGCACCGAGGATGTGTTTCTGGGTATGAGCAGAAAGAACCCCTCCTCCGCCTGTTGTGAGAGCATGCTGGTAAGATTAATCCCCTCCGACACCTCCTCTGCTTACAGCTCCTCACCCAGGCCTGTGCACACTCTCGCTCAGAATCCCCTCTCCTCACCTCTGCGTAACCCTTTAAACTTCGCCCAAGGTATTTAACTTTCAGTTAATATTAGACAGGCAAGTTGGATTAACACTCGAAAAAATAGCTGAAAACAGGCCTGAATGTAAAGAGATGTTCACTGATGTCAAAAGGAAACAAATGTTATAAAAATGTGTAAAAAAAGGCTCAGCTCTAACAGAAGTCAAGAATCCAAATGTGTGTTTAGAATACTGATGGATTATGCACAACAGGGCTGTGGCTGGGCTTGGGGAAGGAAGGTTAAGAACACATTCAGACACATCTACAACAGCTCCTTGCACTCTGAATGAACAGAGAATCACGGTCTGGGCTTTGCAATTCAGTGTGAAAGCAGGGTCTGTCTACCTTGCAAGCAACTGCCAATGTTGGGCAGCATGCTGAACCAGCATAAAAGCAAAGAGCAGGATGTGCACGTTGGTTTTACAGACTGTGACGTACTGTACCTTACACAGAGATGAACAAGAGGCACAACCTTAAGTGCCCAAAAAAAAGGTTTAAGGCAAATGAGAATCTGTTCCTTTCCTCCTCTCTAGGTCAAAATCAAACTGCCCAACACAAAAATCACTGACTTGGTCCTCGATGTCAAAGAGACTTTCCTTGATCTACGAACACCAAAATAGTAAGAAACCAAATCTCCATGTGGCACTGCTAAGCGTTTTCCTACAGCTGGAAACGATGCACTCTATATCCATATCTTAAGTGTATTACTAAATTAATTTGTTCTATTATTAAACAAGATATATCAGCTCTCTCCCTTTCTCTGGCAGTAAGCTGGGGCTGCACCTCCCTCACCCTGTGCACAGTGAAGAGGGGAGAGCCTGCTTCATCACGGAGAGGGAGGAGCTGGAGGTCACCCTCCCTATGGACCGCCCACTGGACAGCATTAACCTGGCCTGAGAGAGAGGAAGAGTGTGTGACTGTGCTGGAGCCCTGGGTCCAGTCAACCAAAGCACACTTGCGGGGTGTTTACACCAGAGCCCTTGTCTCAGCTGCAAAGGAATAATGCTTACATGTTCTGCCTCTTGTCTTTCATTGAAAATGTTACAGTACATCAATGTACTGTAACTGTACTGTATCTATGTACTGCTTCATTACTCCGCTCTCCTCCCCACTGAGAGCTGATGTGTGGTGAGCGTTCTGGCGCGCTATGGCTGTGTACGGAGTGTCCAGAAAAGCGCTATATAAGTGTAAGCAATTATTATTATAATTATTCATTATTTTATCTCATTTGAGAAGCAGAAGCAATAAGCATAGGCATAAGCATAAGCTGATTTTATATGGAATATGAAATTCTCAACTAAGACTGCAATTCCTGCTGTCCGTTTTGAATCTGCTGTATAAATGTAAGCAATTATTATAATTATTATTATCAAGGGAACGCGGCCTCCGTTCTTCTAGTTCAGAACACGGAGACACATCCGACTGTAAATCCTGACTGCAAGCAGACACCAGGACAGCAACACAAGAGCAGGCCTGTAGGGGTAGCAGAGTACCAGGCGAGAACCTAGTATGGCCTTGAAGTTGATCATGTGTGGGTATATTTCCAGCATGGCTTAAGTGTCACAAAAAGAACACATTTAATACAATTGTAGCAAAAAGATTTTATTTGTTTTCCCCTTCTTTTCAGCAAAAATTATAGTATTAAAAGTATAGGCATTGTACATTGTTTTGATTGTTCATGAAGTATTATTTTTGTTTTCCTTAACACATAAGAAATGTATAAGGTATTGGAATTCCAACCAATCCTAACCGATCCTAAATGGTCTAGTGTCCTCTGGTGGCTTAGTGAGAGATTTTTCATGCCTCTTTAGTCCTGCTGGAACAGTACAGTAGAGAAGCCATTAATCTGTAGCACTTTGACAGCACATTGAATGTTAATTTGTTCTAACAGAGTGAGAGTGAATTATCAAAGACTCCCTCAGCAGGGTTCTGTATGTATGTCAGCAGTATGTCAAACTGTTCACTCTGTCACCTGACTTCCTCTCATTAATAGAAATGCCCTAATTATGGATCACACTGTTGTTGCCTGCAGATAGTCTTCTATGCTTTATTACTGGAATTAACATTTTTATTGCTTTCTTTCTACTGTGTTTTGAACTCTTTAATTAAATATAATCTGTTATCTGATGGCCTTCAGCTCTCTGTGTAAAAGGTGGCAGTTACAAACCCCACATTTCCTTCAGAACCTGATGGCATTGGTTTATGTGATAAGTTTATAATTAAAGTATGTCTAAAACTTTACCTTTGCACACAATTCCCTCCTTCCATACATGTAGTGGACAGTGCTCTGTTCAAGTAACCAATTCAACATCATCTATACCAGATACCAGGCGTGCCCAACTCAGGTCAGAGAACCTGAGTTAAGAGTTAAACAGATGGAAAGAAAAGCAGAAACCGTCTGGCCCTCTAAAACTGTTATGCATCCCAAATCCATACCCTTTTAAACTGGGTCTCCCTGTAGGAAAGTGGTTTCAAATTGGGGGCTCCTGGGTCGTCTGTTTTTTCTTTCAACCTAATCAGTCAAGTAACAGCCAGAAGATACTAAACTCTCCAGGACCTGGGTTTGTGACCCCTGCTTTAGGAGACTTACAGGGTGTAATAGGAACCCTTCCTGTTGCTCCTACATGGATTAGGGGACAGTCCTACAACTGGACTAGAGTAGAGCACTGCAGGGGTCAGACTGAGACAGTATTACCTGTACCCTAAGGTAAAAAAATACATTCAATAGCTTTTTGTTTTTACAACTAATACACAGAGTCAATGCAATTTCTGTTTTTTCTTTTTTATAAATCTTATTTTCTTAATTAAAATAATTACTAATATCTTCTTGAGCACAAAAGCTTCCATAAATGCGTTAATAAAAAATTAGGCATTAAAAATGGCGAGCTACCAGTAGAATGTTGTTTCAGTGTGTAAAGTGCACTTAAGTGTAGTGTCATGCGCTGCCTTAAATGCTTGTGTACACGGCTGTGTCACATTAACACCCGAAAACAGCTAGATACACATGTTCCATTGTTAACTGCTTATTTACATCCCTTCGTCAGTCTGTGTAGACGGGGAATTCCAGTCCACAGGGATCGTGATTCCATTCAGTCACATCCTGCAAGGCACCTGAGCTGTGCACAGACCTGACTTGGTGCATTCAGCACACGCTCCACACTGGGGAGTTATTGCATCATCACTGACCACTGAGGGATTACATCATTCTGTAAGGCTGTGTCACAAGCAAAACAGGCCCTGCTGCTCCAGGTCACACATAGTGCTACCCCGAATGGACCATATGGCAAAGGTGGGTCAACTGTCCCAGTGCAGAGCAGAAGGCCCATATACTCCACTATGTCACCAGCACCTTTTACTTCCTCATGGTTCTTCTTTGTTCTTTTCATCTGTAATTGTGCCTCTCCAGTGCACAACGTTCTCGTCCTCTAAATATAATGTAAAGGGCCGCGGCACACAAAATGACATCTCGGGGGTGAAAATCCATTCGCGGAAACATACCTCCTGATCACTAGAACAAATCTCTAAAAACAGACGTGGAAGGCGGAGTGGAGAAAGGCTTCCAGCCCCCATCCCCCAGGTGGGACTGGGTCGTTCTGTGCTCAGCTGCGGGAGTTCCCCTCGCTGTGCGTGCCGTCAGTGTCGTTGGCGCTCTCGGCCCCATCGGAGAGGAACCCGCTGCCCATGTGCCGCACCCTGCGCTCCAGGACCGAGATGCGCTGCTTGAGCCGCTGCTGCGTGGCGGTGTACTCGCTCAGCAGGCGGGCGAACCGCGTCTGCAGGTTGTCCAGCGAGGACTCCAGGCGCTCCACCTTCTCCTCCACCTCCTCGCCGCCCAGCCCGCCCTGCGCCGACGCGCTCTCGTCCAGCAGCCCCTCCTTCAGCAGGATCTCCCGCCCGCGCTCCTCCAGCACCTTCTTGGCATCGGGGTACTCCGTCACGGCCTCCATCAGGTCGTCCTTGGAGAGGCAGAAGAGGTCGGAGTATCCGATGCTGCGGATGTTGGCGGTTCTCCGGTTCCCCATCTTGCTGCCCTTGATGTTGAGGATGCTGATCTCCCCGAAGCAGCTGCCCGCCGTCAGCAGAGCGTACTGGGTCACGCCGTCGTCGGCCACGACTGCCAGCTTCCCCTCCTTGATGATGTACATCTCCTTTCCGATGTCGCCTTTGCGGCAGATGTAGTCGCCGGGGCTGAACACCTGGGGGCGCAGTTTGAGCACCAGCTCCACCAGCAGCCCAGCTTCGCAGTCCTGGAAGATCCGGACCTTCTTGAGCGTCTCCAGGTGCACGTTGATGGCGATCTCGGCGCGCAGCTTGTCCGGCAGGTTCTTGAGCACTTCCTGCTCGTCCACGGCCTTCTTGTTGGTCCACAAGTAGTCGAACCACTTGATGACACGGGCCTCCAGGTCCTTGCTGACCTTGCGGAACTGCATGTAGTGCTTGATGGCGTCAATGCGCGCCTGGAACTCTGCCCGGGTGGCGTTCATGTTGGAGATCATGGATCCCACGTTTCCCACGATGGTGGCGAAGATGAGCACGCCGACCAGGAAGTCGAAAACGACAAAGAGGAACTCCTCGTCGCGGACCGGCGCGGGCATCTCGCCGATGGTGGTGAGCGTTAGGGTGGACCAGTACAGGCAGTAGATGTACCCACTCGTCAGGGAGCTGTACTCGGAGTCCGAGATATTGGGGTACACCCAGGTGTCGGAGCCGAACCCCAGTGACTTGGAGATGGCAAAGTAGATGCAGGCATTCCAGTGGATGATGATCAGGATGTAGAGCACCAGGTTGCAGATGCGGAAGATGTTGGGGTAGTTGGTGCGCGTCTCCGTGCGGTCGAAGAACTCAAACATGCGCGGGAAGCGCAGCAGCCGGTTGAAGCGGAGCTGTGGCGTGTGGATGCCCGTGGCCAGGTAGGCCAGGTCAGTGGGCAGGATGGAGAGCATGTCCAGCTTGAACTGCAGCGTGTGGATGTAGCTGTCCCTCAGCTTGGACAGGTCCTTCACCAGCAGGCCCTGCTCCAGGAATCCTGGGTGGGAGAGGACACCGCGTCACACGGGGCAGACGGCATGACCGCAGATCAAAAGCCAGTCCTCACGGCCAGCGGTGCCTCTGAGGTTTCCTTCCACCCTCAGTTCATTCACCCACTTATTCACTTCATTTGCCTCCATTAGGACCATCTTCCAGGATTTCAATGGGTGATGGATTAAAAGATAATTGCGGAATTGGGGGGGGGAGTTTGGACAGTGCTAACTGTGATCATCGCATTTTGCTGACTCGGTTCTACACACCCACGTATTCACTGACTGACCCATAGAATAATCTGCCGAATCACTGATCCCGCTTCATTGACGTCTCTCAAAATGAATGAAAGTTCAATTATAGTTAATTGTGGGACACGTTTCCGCAGCTCTCCATTTACTGTGAGGAAGGAAACAGCACAGTTTATCGCAAATTCCAAGCTACTGGTGCAACTCATTCACTGCAAATATTGAAACAGTTCTTGTTCCATCCTTGCCTTCCTGACCCTTTGGGTCAACTGGCTTTCACACGGAAAGATTAATCAGAGAGCTTTGGAACTGGTTTCAGCTCGCACAGAGCTGCAGTTTTCAAGTCACTTAAGACTATTAAAAAGGTCAGATTAGAATCACTTAACATTGCAGACCTGTAAGCAATGAACGATCTACCTTGCTGGCAAATTACTAGATAAATCTGGGGGTTCAATAAAACCGTCAAGAATTTAGCTGGAACAGAGCCAGCAGTGACTGAATTCACAGCACCTGGGCTGAAACAAATCAATATCACATGGAAGTGTTATTTTTTGTTGAGTGTTTTTCTGAAATCATACTCCCTCATTTAGTACAGCAGGGGTTGTCCACACTGATCCCAGAGTCTGACGGGTCTCTCCGACCAGCCAGCAGCCCGTGACCCCAGCAAGGCCGGAATCGTGTGTCCTCACCGGTGCGCAGCCGAACGCAGGTGTCCAGAATGTAGACGGAGTCCGACACATAGTCCAGGACCAGCCAGAGGATGAAGTTCTCAGTCTGTAGATCGTCAAAGCAGGCCCTGCACACAGCAGAGTGAGCTCAGGCTCTGTGTCACTCCTTTAAGCAGCCCTGTCCCTTGTGCAGGAAGGGTCCGGGGAGTGAACAGGTGATTTTAATAAAAACGTTTATGCTCACTGGCGAAAATGTTAGGAAGCACGGGCCAAATATATGGTCTCTCTGAGTGAAAGGCAATGCATGATGGGCCTGAGGAGAACAAGACAGATCTCATCCTCCCTACTTGGTCAAAAGAGCAGAAATCGAGCTGCATATCAAAGTGTCAGGGCTTTCCTGGTTAGTTTAAAAAAAGGGTGCGTAAATTGTTTTAGACTATAAGAGAGGAGCCCAGTGTCAGAGCAGAGTGAGTAACGACACTGATACACTCCCTGGGCTTCCAGCACCACATACTGTACTAGCTCATTTTTATGCATTGATGTGTAAAGATTAAGCTGGTTAAGTATCATTGAGAACTTGTTAATTAGGCAGCTGCTTCCTGTGACTTTCTGCCTCCCTCCCTGTCTGTCTACTGTTCCCTCTCTTTCTCAATACAGTACTCTACAGAGCAACAAGACTCAGGTATAATATTAAACCCTCAGACCAGACAATACTCTACGACAGAAAGAACTGCAGGGCCTAACCTCGCCACCAGGAGGCACCAGTTGTACAGTACAGCAACAGCGATGACAAACAGCCAGCGGTAGTAGAGGTTGTCAGCACGGTCGACCACAAAGACATCTGACTTCTTCCTGCATGGAGAGAGAGGGTGATGGTAAACAAACTGCCCTGTGACCCCACTATCCTGGAATTCTATGGAAAACACAGTCACGGGACTTTTAGGCTGCTAGGCTGAGAGCTGCACTTTTTCGGGGTGCACAGACAGAAACAAAGGCAGATTGCTCTACAGATGGAGTGGCACTCGAATGGGTAAAATGACAGGATAACGGTGTGACATACTTGCTGTCTGTGCCTGCGACCTCATTGTTGTTCTGGCCCGGCTGAGTGTTGCTGAACCGGCTCGGAGGGGCCCTCAGCTCAGGCCCACGGAACCGCTCCAGGAACGAGTCGGGCCGCTCCTCCTCCTCCAGCAGGCTCTTGTGGGCCCACTCCCGGAGGGTCACCACCAGCCGCACCAGCCTGCAGGGGGAGACACATGGCGGGTGAGACACCATCGCTTGGCGGCAGCGCACTGACAGGGCGGTACCTCCGTCACCCGTCCGCAGGACTCACCGAGACATGGCCCCTCGCCCCCGGAAGGAATTCTGCGAGTTCGGCCCACGGGGGTCAAGGGTCGCGACCCGCTGCAGCTCTGAGGATGTGTCATCGCACACTGACTGTGCCCTGCAGACAAGCAGAGTGTCAAGGCCAGGAAGCCAGAGCGCAGCACCAGGACAGACAGGGCACTGCTGTCAGTCAGACACACTGGCATGAAGATACAGGATACTGCAGGCTCTATCAACTATTTGTGAATTTGCTTGCTCATCCACTCCTTTCCAAACTGGCCTATGCCGAAACTCCACTCAGAGGCCAAAGGCACTGCACCAGAGTGGACTACACTGCTCAGGACAGCAGCGCGGCTGATCTGCATCTCGCACAGCCCCCAAACCCCCTCACCGGCTCAGAGTGCTGTCGGCTCCGTCCAGCTCGTCCTCCAGCGAGGTCTTCACGGACAGCCGGTGGGCAGACAGGTCTGCGCTCTTCCCAGCCACCTGGCCCGTCATCCTGGCTCACTGCGGCCCTGTCAGAGAGGACTGAGGACACGGGGGAGTCCTGAGGTCTGCATGGGCTGTGAAGCGCTCCTGCTCGTCAGTGTTGCTTTGCACATAAACATCAGGGTCTAAAACCAAGCTCTGCTCTTACTTTCACACCAAGTGGCTGAAGGACAAACCACTGATCCCAGAACAGCAGCTCACTCCCTCCTCCCTCCTCTTTCCCCATTCCCCAAACATTTCAATTACTTCCTTCTGGTGCACTAGGGGGAATACAGTTTTGGGAACATCCCTGTCTGCAGTGTTGGGAATATCTCCGCTCAGGCTGAATTTGTATAGAGCTGGAGTCTCCAAGCCTGATTCCAGAGAGGTCCAGTAGAGAATTTAATCAATTTCCAAAGGGAGGAGCCCAGTGTCAGAGCCGAGTGAGTAACGACACTGATACACTCCCTGGGCTTCCAGCACCACATACTGTACCAGCTCATTTTTATGCATTGACGTGTAAAGATTAAGCTGGTTAAGTGTCATTGAGAACTTGCTAATTAGGCAGCTGCTTCCTGTGACTTTCTGCCTCCCTGTCTGTCTGTCTACTGTTCCCTCTCTTTCTCAATACAGTACTCTACAGAGCAACAAGACTCAGGTATAATATTAAACCCTCAGACCAGACAATACTCTAGGACAGAAAGATCTGCAGTGTCTACCCTCGCCACCAGGAGGCACCAGTTGTACAGTACAGCAACAGCGATGACAAAGCCAGCGGCTGTCATTTCCAAAAGCCTGGAACAATTTCACCATGACATGATTAACTAAACAGATGCTGTTCAATAGGTAATTCAGAGAACATCTGGTACAACGATCAGAGTATTCTTCAGCTCTCTTGGACAAGTGTGCACTTTATTGAAATGGTACTTGCTTAGTCGATCAATTATTATCAATTATTCCTGATCATTAAAGAACAGGGAGTTTAGGATGAAATAAATGAATTACTGGACTTATTACCCCTGCTTTAGTTCCAGTGTCATATAGAGCCTATGACTGGGCGACACTGTGCTGGCATATAGAACTTAACAAGTGATGTCAACTTTAGGGCTTAGTTCTGCTTTTTCTTAATGAAACTGACATATTATTAAAACTGTCTGCCGCAATCGCTGTGTTTGTACAGGCAAAGTAAACATGACCATAGAGTTTTCATTCTTCTGCACATGTTCTCTCTCTACGTGCTCTGCCTCCCTGGCCAGCTTGCTTTCCAGGGTCTGTCTCAGGTGGCGCAGACTCTCCTCCCCTGCAGTCACCTGAAGGACCTTCTAATGATTGACTCCATTAATGCCAAATTCAGCTCCTGACGTCCAGGAAAACACACATCCACGTGAGAAACCATGTGCATCTATCGCGTTGGGTATTTTGAGGCTGGGTGTCAACCTGGGGATTTTTCTGTGTTGTATCTGACACCAGCATCATTAAAGAGGCAGCAGCCATCACAATATTTACACCATTCACTGTGGTAAATCACCCAGCGAGCAGAGGACACCGCCAGGGGAGGTGAGAGAAAGCACATCCCAGCTCTCCTTAGTAACACTCCTGTCTCTGTGGATACAGCCTTGGCAACCACAGCAACATGCAATTGCAGTGATGGTGCTTGCCACCCCCCGAGACAGAGGGAGAGAGGGACAAGGGGCTGGAAGTGGACTGAGAAAGACAGAGGCACGTTCTTCCTTAGGACTTGAAAACCCTCCTGACACATCTACGGCTGATAATGTATTCGCTCTCATACTCACGTATGTGCTCTGCGCCCAGCCCTGATCCTGCCCTCTAATATCCAGCAGAGTCACGTCAAAACGTCAGCACTCGGGGATGCTGAGATAGTGCTAGGTTTTCTTAAAGGATCTTAGCAGTATGTGAAAGAACAGAGAGCTACTGTAAAAGAGAGTGAAGGCAGGAGCTCCTTCCAAAAAAAGGCGCCGTCCTTCGGACAAGATGTAAAACCGAGGTTCTGACTCTGTGGTCATCAAAAATCCCGGGGCGTTTCTTGAAAAGAGTACGGGTGTTATCCTGGTGTCCTGGCTAGATTCCCCCCTGGCCTTTGCCAATCATGGCCTCCTAATAATCCCCATCTCTGAACTGGCTTCATCACTCTGCTCTCCTCCCCACTGAGAGCTGGTGTGTGGGGAGTGTACTGGTGCACTATGGCTGCTGTCACATCACTCAGGTGGGGCTGCACACTGGTGGTGGTGGAGGAGAGTCCCCATCACCTGTAAAGCACTGTGAGTGGAGTGTCCAGAAAAGCTCTTTAGAAGTGTGAAGATTAAGAGGTCAGAGAGATCCTGGTTAGGCTGGCCCACCATGTTTACCTGCACACACTTCATGCTAATAGAGCAACTTAGCTAATGAATTTGATCACTGGACTCTTCTCCTCCAGTCCCTACATATTGCCCTCCTTCTTCATCTCTCTCTCTCTCAGTTCGAACCTGTCGGGGGCTCCTTCTCTTCCCCCAGAACACATACACACCACATGCTTTTAAAAAAGAACTCTAACTCCTGATTTCCATTCTGTTTCACGTCCTGTTCATTCCAGCTTGGGTCTGTTCTGTTTGTGGATTCATTGATCTCCCTGGTTTGGGAAAGCCAGGAGGACTCTCAACTCAACTTTTCATCTCAACTCCATTCTCTGTCATCTAAATGAATCAGCTATTGATCTCATGGGCTGTGACAGGGATGACTTGTGGACACCGGCGCACAGACTACAGTAACAGTAGCAGGTGACTGGCAAGTCCAATCCACCAGGCTGATTAATGATAGCTCGTGAGCCCTACAAACCTGATTGTCTCATATGTAGTCGATGTGGATGTGTTGGAACAGCACTGTATTGATAATTGCTGTTTATCATGAAATAAAATGTTATGTTCCCTCAGCAGAGGAAGCCTCTGTTTTCTCCTTGCAGCGGAGAACAGCACAGGGAGGCTAATGAGACCATTAGATCTCCTGCGACTGTATTTTACTAATGAGCCTCATTAGGGACCGTCTCTGCCTAGAGCACTGTGGGTTACTGTTGCCACTCTCCACACCCGTCAACAGGTACCGTCCCTCTCCCATCTCTCGCACCGCTCCTCACGCCCACTACACTGAATGAGAAGAGTCCCGGTGTCTGAGAAACAGCACAGAGACACTACTAGGCACTGATGCGGTTCGTAGGGTTTGAAAAGCAATTCATATGTCACATGCCCAACACCAACCATTTTAAAATGTATCACTGTGAAATGTGTCAGCACAGTGTGTTGTACTGTCACGTCACTGGTTAAAATGATTTGGGCACAACTGTTACATTTGGGCACAGGGCTACTCTCCAGTAACTATTATCTTTCTGTAGCTTTCCAATCAATAGATCAATGAATGCATAAATCAAACATTTGACCCTTTATTCGGGCTTTACCTACTCACGGAAAGCACCCTCAGGGGTTTAGAACTACAATCAAAGACAAAAAAAAATAGTTTTTTCAACAAAAGGCAGGATGAGACCCTCCAGTCAGGACAGGGGAAACGAGTTTATGCAGAAGAATGTAAGAGCTTGGAACAAGCTGCCCACCCATGTTAGTGATATCTGGATTTCTTTAAAAACAAACAACAGAATGACAGCCTCTGATCAATCAACCGCTAGGAAGAAATTGTTCAAGATGGGCTGAATGACCCCCCTTTCTTTTGCAGACTTTCCTATGTTCTCATCTCAAAAAGCCATTTTACAACAGGGAAACAGCATTAAAACTGAAGTCGTATTTCAGCCCCTTACATACAGCAAACTCATAGTACCAGTATTTTATTTTCAATACAACTCCCTTGAAGGGAAGAAATAAAACAAACTGGTTGTGTCATGTTTTGGGTGTTGCTGACTTGTACACAACTTATTACGGAGGGGACAAAAACAATTTATTAGTCCTGTAACATCGCACATACATCGGCGCAAATTTCCTGAAGGGAAGACTTGAAATGGACAGCACCCGATATTGCCTTACATGCTATAAAGGCTTCACTGGTAAACTCTGGAATGGATCTGACTGCTGTGCACAGGGACTCTTACTCCAAAGGCTGTGTCAGGCAGTGTTAAGCTGCCACAGAAGTCTCATGGTGTTAACAGTGGCCCAGAACAGCAGGGGACTTCCCAGTTGTCATGGAAGGACCAGAGCAGAGGATAGCAAGAGGTTTACACCGGCACCCAGACAGGCCAGCTTATAAAACAGCAGGGAAAATAGATATATTCACAGTGAAAACAGCAAACTGGCAGAGCACAGCAACACCACATGAAAATGAGACCTTGCCAGACCAATAGAGGGAGATGTCTATTTGTCCCAGCATATTTCTGTACTCAGAGTATGAATAACATAAGCTCTATGGGCACAGCACACACAAGGGCAAGCTGAAGGATGCACATGAGACTGTCCTTTTTGTTTTGCGCCGGTATCAATGTCGCAGTTTTAGGGTCGCTGTAACAAGGCTGCTCATTTTAATCTGGCAGGGCCATCTACAGGGATCAGCAGCAGTTGTTCTTGAACCCGCGCCCCACTGAGCAGGCACTGTGAGTTCGGGAAGACTCCAGGGGAGCCCTGTGCACTTCGGCTGTATGGGACTCATGGCGCCCACGTTTCGAAACTAAGTTGCTCACAGCTTAGCACCTGGGAAGAGAGACTGAGAAAGACTCACCACCAGCTTGACTCGCAGCTCCTTGCTGCCTGTCAGAAACCCTGCTGGTCACCCCGACCTGGAAACGTTTTCTCCATCTTAGGTACGGTGCCCATCTGGAGACTGGGGAGAGTACCAATGCAACTCGTCTCTTCTCTTCTGCGTTTCCTGCAGGTTAGCTCTCTCTCTATCTCTCTCCCTCCTTCTCTGTGTCTCTTTAGATGCACCCGGTAGGACAGCTCTCTGTTTCTCTCCTTCCCTGACCTGTAGGTCCGTTTCTCCCTGTCCCTTCGGAAGCAGCCCCGCAGTTCAGCTCTTTCTCTTTGTCTTCTCTCTCAGCCTGCGTACCTCTGTGTGAGCTGTCTCTCCCCCTGTGCGCTCAGACGAGTCTCCAGGAACTGGACAGGGAGCACTGCGCCGTGGGGCTGATGATCACAGGAGAGAACATTAGCATAAACAGCACTACAGGAGCACAGAAAGCCCTTCACATCGCCCTCTTTCTCCCTCTTTCCACCTGGACAAAAGCAAAGCAAGTCTGTTTCCTTGTGTGTTTTTCATCTCTATTCAGACTTCTCCACAGCGGGCAGAAGAGAGCACAGGGACACAAAGAAGCAAAAGAGCGAGCACCATCATTCAGATCTTTTCCCATGAATACATGAATAAAAAAAGGGGTTTCTTTCAGTTTTTTCTGGCCTCCCGTTGACTTAATGTGTCTCCAGCAGTCGGGCCCACACAGCAGAGCTTCGCTCCTGGTTATTCAAGTGAAGCTCCGATCGCTTTGATCCGAGCGGCTAAGCAGGAATTCGTGGGTAGCGGCTCTTAAGAGCAATTAATTAACGGCCAAAAGATTAGACATGTTTTCCACCTGTTCTCCATTCCCTTTTGATCAGGTCATCGTTTTTAATTTTAAATGGCACCTTAGCACGGGTGTCAGCACCTCGCACCACCAATTGACAACTGGGGGCTGCAGTATGTGGACAGGGCTCAGGTGCAGATCGTTCAGACTCAGATTTAATTAAAACAGCC